TGTTGCATCATAATATTCGACTCCATGTCTTTCTTCTCCCCGTACTGAAATGCGTTCATTTCCACCTTGCGCATCTGTTGGGCTTCTTCCTCAAACTTGCGCCATGCCTCAGCCATGTGGTGTTGGTGGTGACTCACTAGATGTCCCGACTGCTTGCTGGCAATCTCGCATCGTCTTTCCAGCTCCTGGATCCGGATGGTGCTTCCATAGTCTTCTTGGTTAAGATTCGCCATTGCTGCCGACATTTCATCAAGTGTCTTCTGATATTCCCCGATCTCCACCTCCATCTTATTCTTCTCTTTGATCACGGCGCGAAAATCTGCACTGGTGGGTGATTTTGACCTCCCACCCTTCGATGTCGATCTCACGCCCTTCTGCGACGTCCGTGGTGTCGCAGGCGAAGATGATGATCTTCTCGGTGGGGATTCTCTTTTCTTCGACTCCTGATGAACATCGATCTGCTTCCATGATCTTGTGGGAGTAGATATGTCGCTGAATAGCGCGGAACCTCCGCTCCCAGGTTCATCCTGTGAATCTGCAACCATATCCATCACCGCAGGAAGAGCCATCAATCCATTGGATCCCTCTGAGCTGCTGTTCCCAAAAGTTGCAGTACTTGGGCTCGCCGAAGACGCCATTGTACTGTGTATGTTATCGTTCCTTTATTGTCCCTGTACCCGCAATAAACCAGCTGTCTCCCAGTCCAGTGTAGAGCTTGTAGTTACGGCTGATAACCTGTCAAGAGACGGCAAGGTGACGTCCCGTGGGACGCTGTGCACCGAACCCTCAAGCTTTAATACCAACCACGTAGAAAGGTGTATACGGACGATGCCGTTATAGCCGAACCCGTGTAAACGTTGTAAGGAAGAAGGAATGATAGTTACGACAGTGGTCCTGACGAATGCAGCGCAAGCAGTTGTTTTGCTCTTAATGCCCGTCACGTATGTGCGCAGTCACACATCAGATCTTGAACCTCAATTGTGTCTTGAGCCAAATGGCGATCAATGGAACTTGGGAAGCAACACCAACAAGGACCTCAGAACTGCTACCCAATTTCGGCACGGGGCCTAGAGGGTTTTAACAGTATGTATGTATGTATGTATGTATGTATGTATGTATGTATGTAGGTAAGTAGGTATGTATGTACGTATGCATGCATGCATGAACGAATGCCTGCATGAACGAACGAATGGAATGGAATGGAATGGAAGGGAAAAGAATGGAACGGAATGGAATGGAATGGAATGGAATGCAATGGAATGCAATGCACTGCAATGCAACGCAATGCAATGGAATGGAATGGAATGGCATGAATGAATGAATGAATCAATCAATGAACCATGCATGCATGAATGAACGAATG